GGTAGCAGAGCGTGATTTAGAAGTTTGTGGTTAAGAAGATTGTGAAGTAAAGGGAAGATAAAAGTTAAAGAAAACTATAAATTGATAAAAGTGTGAAACTAAGAAGAAGAACAATTAGCAACAATGCCGTATGTAAAGCATGACGACGTGTACATGCCAATATTTGATGGTGTAGAAAAAAAAAAAAAATAAAAAAATTCTAAGAGAATTAGAATTTAGAGAGAAAAAATCTCTATTCGAGCTGGAAAGCTAGAATTTTGAAGGTGTTAGAATATAAAGAGTGTCTGGAAGTGGTTCAGAGAGAAAGAGACATTGCAGATACAACAGTTACAGAAGCAGACTGGAAGAAAAAAGATGTTAAGGCGACAATTTTAATTTTTGGTTCAGTGACAAATAAACAATTAGAATATATTAAGCATTTGCCATCAGCGTATCAGATGATGAAAAAGTTCGACGCAGAATACCTGAAGGAGTCTACAGCATTACAAATAATAAATCGTAATAATTTGGAGAAAATTAAACTGGAAAATTATTCAGACGTGGTTAAATTTTTTTGATGATTTTGAGAAAGGACTGAATGAAGTAAAAGCAGCAGGCACAACAGTTACTGATGAAGAGGCGAGGAATTACATGATAAAGGCTCTCCCGGAATCATATAGTCACATTGGAGATATATTGGATGCTTTGCCAAAGAATGAAAGAACAATTCAATATTTGAAGAGTAAAATTAGAATGAAATCAGTGACAGAAAAGAATGTGAGGCTTGAAAAGAATAAACAAAAGGAAAATTCTACGAATACGAGCGCATTCCACGCAGAGACAGAACAGATATGTTATGGGTGCGGTAAACCTGGACACTATCAAAGAGATTGTGGAGAAAGACCTGGTAGAGGTAGAGGAGGACAGCATGGAGGCTGGTCACAAAGAGGGAGAAGCAGCTACAGAGGAAACCCACACACACGAGGTAGAAATAACTACAGAGGAAATTCAAGAGGTCAATACAGAGGGGATTATCGAGGAGATGTAAACACGGCATCGAGCAGTCAAGAACACCAACAGAGTTCTCAGAATTTTGGTAACGTATTCATAACAGAGGTAAATAAAACAGAAATAAGAAATGATGGAGTGAGAGATAAAAATGAAATAAATTGGATATTAGACAGTGGATGTACAGACCACATAATAAATGATGAAAAATTATTTGATGAAAGTATAACCTTGGTAAAACCAGTTGAAGTAAAATTAGGAGATGGTCGACTCATGAGAGCAACAAAGATAGGTAAAGTAAATGCAATTTTTATAGTGGGTGAAAAAGAAAATTTAGTAACATTGACTAACGTGTTTTATGTTCGAGAGATGAAATCAAATTTAATTAGTTATGCGAAAGTAACAAACAAGAATTCAATAATTTCATATGATGATGTTTCAGAAGTTTATGATTCAGATGAAGAACTAATAGCAATAGCAATGAAAGTAAATGATATCTATAAAATGACAAGTTTGATTAGAAAACAAGAGAATCAGAGAGAAGTGAATAATGGTCAGGTAACAGGAAATAATGAGGAAAAAATGACATTAAAAGAAAAATGGCATCGTACTTTGGGACACGTAAATTTTGATTATTTAAATACTCTATGTAAAAATGAATTATTGATTGGATTACCGAAAGAATTAGAAACAGAAATTATGAAATGTGCAACGTGTATCGAGTCAAAAATGCATAACTTACCATTCGAGAATAAAAGAAAACAAGCAACAGAGACACTAGAGATTATCCACACTGATATAAATGGTCCACATCCAACTGTTGGGAATTGTGGTGAAAGATATTTTTTAACTTTTATAGATGATTATAGTAAATTGGCGAAGGTTTTTGCTTTAAAATCCAAAGATCAGGTTTATGACTGCTTTATAGAATACGTGAATTTAGTGGAAAATATTACAGGTAAATGAGTTAAAATGTTAAGATGTGATAATGGTAAAGAGTATATCAACAAAAGAATTGATAAGTTTGCAAGACAAAAAGGAATTAGAATTATGCCGTGTCCACCATATGTACACGAGTTAAATGGAGTAGCTGAGAGATTTAATAGAACGATAATGGATTCAGCTAGGTGTTTATTAAAAGAAGCTAAAGTAAATGAGAGATACTGGCCAGAGGTTGTCAATGCAGCAACGTATTTGAGAAACAGGACACTTGCAAATACGATTGAAAAGAAAACTCCTTATGAAATATTTTTTAATGAGAAACCAAATGTTAAATATTTGAGATTATATGGAAGTAGAGTTTACGTAAGAACACCTGAACAAATAACAAAATCAAAGTGGGACGATAAAGCTAGATTGGGAGTACTATTGGGTTATTCAGAAGTAGGTTATCGTGTGTTGATAAACAACAGAATTATTGAAACTAGACATGTCGATGTATTAGAGAGTGACGTCAAATATATTGGATTTAATGATGATAGTAATGAAATGGGTAAAAATGTAGAAAATGAGCCTAATGAAAATTTGAATGACAGTGTAAATTATGATAGTAAAAATGAATCGATATATGAGTCTGCTGAGTCGATTGAGGACGATGAAGTTAAGGCTGAAGAAATACCAGTTAGACGTTCTGAGAGAGAGAAAACCAAATCGAAAATATGCAAATGATTATGTAAGTTATTGTGTCTATGTGAATTGTTGTGATGTTAATACATCTAATACATTTGAAGAGGCGTAGAAAAGTAGTGATTCTAAAGAATGGAAAAAGGCTATGGATAAAGAGATGAGCAGTATTGAAGAGAATAAAACATGGATTTTAGTGAATAAACCAGAAAATAAGAAAGCAATTGATGTGAAATGGATTTACAAAAAGAAGTCAGAGGAAGTTTATAAAGCAAGACTAGTGGTTAGGGGGTTTCAGCAGAAAGAACAGATAGAAGATACTTACTCACCAGTAGCTAAGATGGAAACTTTGAAAATATTATTGTCGTACTGTTGTCAAAGTGAATTGAAAATTGAACAAATGGATGTAGAAATAGCTTTTTTAAATGGAAAAATAACGTCAGAAGTTTATGTACATCAGCCCCTGGGATATGAAGATGGTACAGAAAAGGTTTATAAGTTATGTAAATCACTATATGGATTGAGAGAAAACCCTAGGTCTTGGTATGAATGTTTCCACAAGTTTATTGAAGAGTTGAAATTTGAAAGAAGCAAACACGATTATTGTTTATATGTAAAAAGAGATGGAGAGGCTACTGTATATATTTTAATATTTGTTGATGACTTATTGATCTGTGGGAAAGATATCTCGAAGATAGAAGAAGTAAAATCTAAATTGTCAAGACGTTTCAGAATGAAAGATATGGGTCCAGTGAACAATTATATTGGTATTGACATTAAGAATGATCTTGTGAATAATGAAGTCACGCTCAGTCAAGAAAATTATATAAAATCGTTAGCTAAGAAATACAATTTGGAAAATGCTAAGTTGTAAGCTGAAGAGTTAAATGAACAAGTAAAATACAGGAGTTTGATTGTAGAATTATTGTACATCAGTACAGGTACAAGACCAGATATTGCATTCAGTGTTAATTATCTTAGTAGATTCCAGAGTTGTTATGACGAGACACATTTTAAGTATGCTATGAAAATTCTAAAGTATTTATATCTGACTAAACATTTAAAGTTGACGTACACAAAAGCAAGAGACAAAGAAGCATTGGACTGTTTGGTAGATTCAGACTGGGCAGGTGATATTGTTAATAGAAAATCTACTTCAGGGTATATTATAAGATTGTATGGAAATGTTATTTATTGGAAGTCTCGTAAACAAAAGTCAGTAACAAAATCATCTACTGAAGCTGAATACGTAGCATTATCTGAAGCTTTCACTGAACTGAAATTTATAAGAGGATTATTAGAGGAAGTATTTGATATAAATTTCAATAAACCGATTAAAATGTATAAGGATAATTCTGGAGCTGTAGCCATTGCAAAGAGTGGAAATTTATCAAAGAAATCTAAGTATATTGAAGTGCAGTATCACCATGTATATGATAATTACGAAGAGAGAAATATTGTTATAGTGAAGATTGATACTGAGGATAATATTGCTGATATATTGACGAAATCATTGTGCAAGGAAAAATTTGTCAAACTGAGAGAATTACTGAAACTTAAATAGAATTTAAGAAATATAGAAAGATTGATAAAGTACTAATGTAAAGAGGTGTGTTGGAAATAGTGTGTGTACATTCGTACTTTGTCAAGTAAGTGCTGCCATCAGGTGGTGATGAGTGGAGTTGATGTCGTGAGGATGAGAGAGTGAACCGACGCAAGTAACGGCGTTCAGTCCGAGTCAAGTCTCCAAAGAGAGAACACATGTATTGCTGAGTTTATTAAATATATTATTATTAATGAAAATCCCCTATCTACATCATTTATTCAACACAGTTTTCCAGTGTTAAAAGTTATTGACACTTTGAATTAATTCCAAGCAATGTCCCTATCAAACTCTTGATCTTTACGATTCCAGAATCCATTGCCATTTCACTCATTAAGTCACCTCAACTTGTCTGCCATTTCCATGAGCAGCAATCAATTGGAAGGATTGGGAACTCTATTAAATTTATCTACACTAACTCTCAGCGGTGTAACGGTTGATAACGATATCACTAAAGTAATTTCCCATCTGCCACATGTAGTGCATCTGGAGTTGAAGAATGTAAAAGGTTTTCAGTATTCTGATCTGTCAGATCTAGCAATGAATTGCCTTGAACTGCAGTGTCTCATTTTAAATCGTAAGCGGTACACAAGAAAATCTCATCTGATTTTATGCAATCAGAAATGTACTACGTTCTCCATTTACAGCGACAGTCTCCGACACTAAAAGATTGCTTTATGTTCTTTTTTAGGTTTCAAGGATATTATTCAAGGTGATTTCTTCAGCATCATTTCCAAGCATCCAAAGGTGAAAGAACTACATCTTGAAAGAACAAAAATACAAACCGATGATGGTGTTGCAGATTTTTTTAACTTGGAGGTATTGCAGAGTCAATTCTGCCAATCCATAAGACCTGAAATAATAATCGAGTTGCTCGAATGCTCTCCAAATTAAGATAAGATAAGATTAAATATTGCAGAGTTTTCCAAAGACAAGCAGTTTATTAGTAGAATCAACGCTCTTGTGATAACGCATTACCCTCCGTCCCGATCCCTCGAACTCGGTATAAATACCAAAGTCTGCGACTGGATTACATGCCAGGAGTTTTCACCCCAACTTGTAATTATTTATGATTACGATTGTTAATTTTTCTGTTGTCGAAACTTTTGCAGTGATTATTCTTGGTTCTGAATAGATAATTAAGATTTCCATCCCTCTCTTCAGAGTAGCTATTCTTTTCAGAAGGGATGAATGCATTTCAATGGATTGAATGACTTAGCATGAAAAATTTGGATGATAAATGTGAAGGTGGGGATTTCAGACTGAAATAAATTATTGTACATCCTGAATGGATCTAAAGGTATGCAGATCATTCACATATATTTATTTGAACACAGCAATTTCTTCAACTTCAATATGTATTTTTGAAAATAAATCATCATCATAATAGTGTAGTATTTTCTTGTGTCGACGGTGAATGAGATTTGAAATGCAATCTCATTGTGCTCCTTCAGCATTTTCGCGAATGATAACATAGGGACAAAAATCAGTGTCATTCTGTTGCTGTAAATAATGAAGCACCGGAATATCGTGAAAACTACTAAGAGAATCTTGATCGAAATTTGTTAACAAAAAAAGGACCGATTCACTCAAAGTTTTCGTTACAGATATTGGTGTCCATAACTGATCGAGTTTAGAAACGGGACATTCATGTGAATGTCAGACAATCAGTTTTTTACTCAATTATAACAGTTTCGTGGGATCAATTCGTTATTCGTATACCTGCATATTTAATCTCCATTTCCTTCTTGTCATGGGCTTCTATAATGCCTTTCAATTCTGTAATCGTCCTCTTCTGGGAAACAAGATTTCCTCGTCGACGCCGCTTCTTCAAACGTGCTGAAAATAATATAATCGAAGGTAATATAATCAGTACGTGGTCAGTGGAACCAATGGATCAGTCCTGAACTCTTAACGTTCGTCAGTAGTTTCAATCATTTATGAAAATAGTAACGCAGTATCTTCACATTTCAATGGCAGAGCAGGGGAGAGGGGTAGAGTGGAACGATTTTGGATCTTCTCCAAATCCCAAGATCTTCTTTTATAAACAAAGATATTGTGAATTGGAAAAAATCACGAATCTTTCCATTTTGCCCCGCCTTCCCCTAGATATTGTAATTTTACCTCCATACTCTTCGCCACCCTTTGCCCTCGGTACTGATAAATGAACAAGTCTTCTCTCCGCCTTTGCCAATTTCATCTCTGCAACACAAGCACATATTGACACTCGAATCCTAGCTCTGTTGGAGGGTCTGAATGTGAATGAATACCGAATGGATTTCTGTTGATTATAGTATCATATTTAACCTACGGAAAAACTTATATGGTGAGAATGATCGTTCCTTTTTAATTTCTTCGACTTGATCTGCTGGTAAACAGTCCAATAAAAACTGGTAGATCTTTTGTTGAGTAATTCTATAATAAAAACACTTCATATCAATGTATGATCAGTCCAGTCGCCGCATTCTCTAGTTAAAAGCATTTGGTCGAGTAATATGTTTTTCGTGCGATTCTCATGGAACGAACGTGATTTGACTGTATGCTGTGGACTCAAGAATATGATTGACGCTATACCAATGTTATATGCCGAAAAAATCATGAGAAGAAAAATTATCTATGAAACGTATTGGCCAGATAGAAGTTTTCATTCAGGGTCTCGTATTTGCTTATCTCTGTTGGTCATTCCCGCCAGTTTAGCATTTTTTCCAACTGATACATTGTTATCAAGTCGCTCGAATTTGATGTTCTTATCTTCTATAAGATCTTGTAAGTTCTCTGAAATGACAATTACTACGTGTACTGTGAATCGTTGAATCTTCATTATTTATATGATAAATGCTGAAACGATAATCATGCAGTCCACAAAAAAATCAGGACTCATGTCGAAGAATCCCCTTAAATCAAGTCCGCCTATATCATAGCAAGAATCGACTTATTTCATACAATAATTAATGACACGATTCAAGTCGGCTGGTACTTGATCAAAGTATATTTTGAAATTTGATTCGAGTATATTCTGCGACTTGACTACAATACCTCCAAGTTAAAAAAATCGGCAACACCATCATCGGCTTGTATTTTCGTTCTTTCACGATGTAGTTCTTTCACCTTTGGATGCTTGGAAATGATGCTGAAGAAATCATCTTGAATAATATCCTTGAAATCTAAAACAGAACATAAAGCGATCTTTTAGTGTCGGAGACTGCCGCTGTAAATGGAGAACGTAGTGCATTTCTGATTCCATGAAATCAGATGAGATTTTCTTGTATACTAGTTACGATTTAAAATGAGACACTGCAGTTCAAGGCAATTCGTTGCTAGATCTGACAGATCAGAATAATGAAAACCTTTTACATTCTTCAACTCCAGATACACTAAATGTGGCAGATGGGAAATTACTTTAGTGATATCGTTATCAACCGTTACCCCGCTGAGAGTTAGTATAGATAAATTTATCAGAGTTCCCAATCCTTCCAATTGATTGATGCTCATGGAAATGGCAGACATGTTGAGGTGACTTAATGAGTGAAATGGCAATAGATTCTGGAATCGTAAAGATCAAGAGTTTGATAGGGATATTGCTTGGAATTAATTCAAAGTGTCAATAACTTTTAACACTGGAAAACTAGAAAAGTGTTGGCTTACGAAATTCATCTGGACAGTACACCTTGAGCGTCCTGAATGCTGCATGTAGACAAGATTGCTGAAAATTTTGTGGAGACATTTCCATGGGAAATTGTCTGGAATGTCATAGATCACGAGTTTTGATAGCTTTTGGTTTCTTTCAAATATACGTGAAAAAATGTCGCCGTATTCAATAAGGTCCGACAAAACACTATCTTTAAAATATATTTCCATTTCTTTTAAGTTGTTGCAACATTCTCTCATTAATTGCACATGATTTGTCCCTCGTTTTACTTCCGCCATCACTGACTCAACAAAAGGACCACATCGCTGGAAAATCATTGTGATTTCATCTTGTGATTTCATCCATTCTAATTCAGGAAATTTTAGTGCTTTAACGTCAATCCAAACACGTTCAGCGTTCTCTTTCCATTTTATACAGACTAAAATGATCCGTTCACAAGAACTAATATTAAATATTGACGAGATTGCTCTTCAAAGTTAATTGTATAAAATACACATAATCTTGACTATTAAAAAGACTATAATAAGCTCGGACATTTGACCTCGCTTCATCTTATCAGAGACGAAATGTTCGAAGCAAAAATTTTTAATGAAATAAAACCTTTTTCAGCATTCAGCCTCTCCTTCCAATCCAACAGGTTGAATATCTTCATAAGACAGACATCCGGCAGATCCATAATGTAGAATAAATCTTACTGATGGTTGATGTTTCTGAATAATTTGACAGCAAATGAAATAATTCCAACGCACAAATGCAAACGCGAAACACGACAAGGACACGAAGATATCTCGACATATTTTCAAACGGACACAATTCTATTAGCTGGTCATACTCCTCGCGCAGATATATCCAAGCGATACAAATATTACATCTATTAAAGGCAAATTGCATGTAACAATAGCAACAATAAAGAATCTGTACTTTGTTAGTTGTTCACTCCTTACTGATGCAATATTTCCAGTCCTTTCAAAATTGTCCAAATTGGAAATATTGTCTATTGTTGATAGTCCAGAAGTCCAAGGACTGTCGACCGAATTGTGCACCACAATTCGAACTCTAATATTATCTCGCTGTCCTAAAGTCACAGATGACTGCATCATTGAGCTGCCACAGCACTATAATACCATGGAAGAAATCAGTCTGAGGAACACAAGCGTCGATGGCGGTTTACTCCTTGCAGCCAACGCACTTATTGAAACCAGTCCTAATCGAAGACCGTTGACTTTCGTCGTGCCGAAAGACACCTTCAACGGGCTCGAGCAACAGTAACCACTAATTAATGTGAAGGAGTTTAGATCTTATTCAAGTTTGTATATGATTTGAAATTCAGAAACTGAAAGTATTCAAATCTGAAGGATTTGAATATTTTGAAAATCTTCAAAGATTCGTTAACCCATACATTTTTGTCATTTCCACTATGCCAGGCCTTCTGTTAAAAATTTTATTGAATGACTTGGGATGCTAGAAGTGTTTCAATCAAAAATTTTCATTCGTTTTTTTGGGTTGAATCCATTGATAATAATTATGCATCTCTGCCGTATCATCTCTCATAAATATTTGATTAGGAAAAAACAATCAATAGGTTTCAATTTTTTTACGAATTATTTTCTGCAAATTTTTCACGAGTTGGGTTCAACTAAGTAGGATTAATAATTTTAGAAGACCATACATGTTTCCACGTATTTTTATTAATTATCCGTCTAGGTAATGTAGTTATTTTTGCATGTAAAGTATTTAAGCATGTGACGTATTGAGATCGATCAACACGTCTATTTAGTTAGTAATTACATAATTAATATTATAATGCTGGATGGTGGTGACGAGAAATATGATTTCTCTTTCCTGTCATCCACACATAGGTCAGCAATCCCATGGTGTCATTTGGACACCGTGGTAAGCAGTCCCACGGTTTTTCAGGAGTCCAGTTCAGAATGATGAACTGTTTGACTGTTTGAGTCTGTGTCAGAGACGACACAAGACAGTGTTAGTGAAGAAAACCGTGAGACTGCTTAGCTCAGCAAACTGTGGCTTTGCCAAGTTTTGAGGACTCTGAAAGCATCAGAGTACGATCAGGAGCAGAGTCGAGCGGACCTCTAGCTCAGGCCTTCAGCCAAAATCGAGTCGAAGTCCCTAGTCGAGTCTCTTAATAACGCGTATATCAACCCATAATTAAAACAGTCGTGTATTTTAACCCATCTTTTAATATACCATATACTTTTACCACCCTGGGAATCCAGGAGCTACGTTACAGCCACGGTATTTGCGTGGTTAGGACGTCGAGTCGGAGCTAAATTCGAGAGAGGGGGTACCCAGCCACGATCATTCTTTTGGGGCGAGGACTATAGATGATTTGACAATAATTTGTCTGCAAATTTGTGATCATCATTTGTAGTAAAAGAATTGCGTATGTTTGTCATTTTCTAAAAAATTAGTGCATATATCACATGACCGTCATTTTTCGGGTTACAGTACTTTTTATCACGGACAAAAATATGACGACAAAAAAATCACGTCAAAAATATCACAAACAAAAATATCACAAACAAAAATATCACAAGCAAAAATATCACCGATAACAATATCACAGCTGAAACATCACAAACAACAACATCACAAACGAAGGGAACTCAGAAGAATGAAGGTCAGAAAGGAAGAAAGGCAGCCAAGAGTAAACAATCACAACCCAACAATCAATATCTCGATCACCAAGTTGAGTTTTCATGGAAATAATAGGTATTTCCTGAGTTATCTGATTGATACGTGAGGAGAAAGACCCGTTGGAATTAGAATTCAATTTTTATACAACGAGGAGGCTTAAAGGATTATTTATGATCATTTGGACTGTGATATTTTTGTTTGTGATCATTTGGCTGTGATCTTTTTGTTCGTGATATTTTTGATTGTGATATTTTTGGTTCATGATATTTTGGTTTGTGATATTTCTGCCGTGATTATTTTGATTGTGATAAAAAGGCCGTGATCGATTGGCCGGTCACCCATTTTTCGCGTGGATACGTCTATGGTTTCAATACGTGGAGTAATTTTCGGAAACGGTCCTTATGTGCAGCGCCATCTATAGGAATTCTAGAAAATTCTAGACATTTCGAGGTGATTTGAGAAGTTGTTTAAAATTTCAAAAAAATTCAAAGAGTTTCTGAAAATTTCAAGGAAATTCAGGGAGTTTCTAGAAAATTCGAGAGAATTCAAAGAGTTTCCAGTATACTCGAGAGAATGCAAGGCGTTCCTAAGAAATTCAAGAAAGAAGGAAAGACCATGGACGTGTATTCACGTATAATTACAGCTGTATCGGAGATACACTCGTCTGCAATTTTTTTTCATTATTTTTACTTCTGACACGAACCACTTTAAGAAAATGTCTTCATATTTTTCCACAAACTGACGCAAATTACTGCTATTATGTACAGACTTAGAACTACATTGTAAAGAGTTTCATTAAGATTTTAATTGAATGACTGTAAATAAAGTATTTGTATATTTGTAATCTCTGTACAAAAAGTGAATGCTTGGAATTACAAAAAGCCAATTTCTTAAAAATCGCCAGAACGACCGCTAAAGGGTTCACCCTTGGTGAAAGGGGACGTCCAAATCCTACCACTAGGCCTTTGTACCTCCCCGATACCGTGTATAAGACAAATGAAGAGAGTGGCTAATTGAAAAAAAATCAGTTGTTTGCAAGTGAAGAGACATTTACACAACGTATTTTTTTCCCTTCATGGTAGACTCTTAAGTATTCACAACTGTGTGCAAAGAATGAATAAAGAAAGAGAAATTGTATGCACTAAGCGCACTGAGTGCGTGTGGACAGGTTACCACCAAATTTTTTATGATGGATTCTTCGTAACGGTAATTATTTCCTAGGTAATGAAATAATTCTTTGGCATTAATTTCATTAATCAAATATTTATTAATATTATGTACAGATTTAGAATAACATTCTCTAGGTAAATGGTGTCTTCAAGAATTAAATTGAAGGAATGTAAATAAAGTATTTGCATATCTGTAATCTCTATACCAGAATTTAATGTTTAGACTTACAACTGAAAAAATAAATTAATGAAACCAAGAATTTCAAAAAGTAATGATTGCATTTAATTCAAAAGTATACATTTTCGGCCACTTTGAAGATTTATCATGACTGACATCAGCGCGCTGCCGGAGTACGGAATTGACAGAAAGTGATCCCTTAAGGGGGTGAAAAGGGTGCAATATTTTTGTAATAATTCGAAAACCGTTGAGGTACAATGAATCCGTGTTTCTTCGTCTTTTGAAAATCAATCCCAAAGGGGGCAACGCAGAAAATTTTATAAAGTTTCTGGAGATTTCCGACACTTGCTAGAAAATGATAGAATGTTTTTTGAAAGAGAACATATTCACCTGATGACCGAACGTAATGGTTGGGTGAGTTAGGTGTTGATCCGGCGGACATCCCAGTGCAGCCGCGGTTAGTACTTGGATGGGTGACCGCTTATAGGACACCCTCGCCTAAAA